GTTATTACCAAATGCTATATATATATCCTCTCCCACTAACGATACAGTTCCTTCTGCTACTAATACTAATTAGAGAAGTTTTCAAGGGCTCTAGAATATAAATTCTCTAATAATTCTCTAATACATAATCTATGAATAACCTGATCTACTAATTCTATGTTTGTTACATTGTATTGTACGTGTGTGTGTGATTATTTACGTGTGTGTCGGTGTGTGTACTCAAGTGAGTTTATGTACGTGTACTAAGTAAAATATTATTAAAAATAAATGAAGCAGTTGTATAATTGTAGTGTTGAAAAGCTACGAAAAAGGTGGAACATCGTTCTAAATTCGTTTTATTCTATTATTTAAATGATTCTAAATTGTTAATGTACATTTTTCAGCGGCTTTCCATAGATAACCGAATCTTGAACATCATATAACTTTGCGGTAACAAAAGTATTTAAAAACTTTTCAGATATTATATATTATATCCATCAAAAATAACATTTTTAACAAGATTCGTCAATTTTAACTATTTTAAAATAAAAATGGCTAAAATTATTTATCCGGATTTTATGGCCGTACCTAATCAAATACAAGTTCAGAGGCAAAATCTGCTTGCCATATGCAGGTTTTTTAAAATTTAAAAAAATTGTTTATATATAAAATATTTTTAATTCAATTTTCAATAAATTAGAATGAATATTAAATGAAATGATGATTTGTCTCTTATTTGTATTTCTTATTTTAAATTTGTGCAAAATATTCCATTGTCAGTAGATAAGCCATTGTCATTGTCTCATTGCTGTTACTGATTGTGTCATTGTTTTTCTTTTGTTCATTTCATTGTCTTCAAAATTGGTTACATATACGATATAAATAAGTTAAGTTGGCAAACTAATTTAAACAGAAATCACATGAAAAAACCAATAACTACATTAAGTAGTTTCTTTCATTTTGTTTCATTTATTTATTTTATTAAATCTGCTGGGTACAAAGTCCATATCAGTGGTCTTCCTTCAGCTGTTTTTCATTCAACGCCCCCTTGTAATTTTTTTTTGTAGTTAGAATTTTCAAATAATTATAAAATTTAATTTATGGTCAGGTATATATAATAATTATATTAATTATTTTTTCTAGACTTGCAGTAAATTCACTGACAGACAGAAATGATGTCTTTCCTGTTGATGAAAATTCCCCTGAACTACAAAACTTTTTAACCATCATCGAGCATATACTAAGCCATAGAATTAAACGTTAGTTAACATGGTTGATAAATCATTCATCCATCAAACATTTCATTCATTCATTTATTCATTCTTTTGTTTATTTATAATACAGTCAAGATGATATATTGGTAAAATAATTAATAAAATAATTGTTCTCTAGCGAATATAAGCTGGTATGGTGGTACGGATGAGAGATTTTACTGGGATTTCATACAAGTTGCATGCAAAGATGTTCCTAACAACTGCTTGTCGTCTGTTCAGTGCATCGCCGGGGTCAAAACCGCATTAGGCAAGGTTGGTTGTTGATTGATCGGTTGGTTGGTTAGTGGCTGGTTTGTTGATTGATTGGTGGCTGATTGGTAGTTTGTTGGTTGTTGTAGTTAGATTGTTGGTTTGTTTTTTATTTATATATATATATAATATATATATAATATATATATATATAATATATATATAATATATATATATAATATATATATAATATATATATATATATATAATATATATATAATATATATATATATAATATATATATATATATAATTATTCATAATTATTTTTTATAAAATTATTAAACTTTAAATAGGCATGTATGTATGTGTGTGTGTGAGTGTGGGTATTTATTTATTTCCATGATCCTGATATACACTTATTTCCTGGAATTAGGGACGTGCATGGCTGCGGATGTGTCTGATGGAAAAGAGACTTTCTGACTACATGATGACTGCTCTGCACTCGACGAATGTTTTAGAGTTCAGTGAAACTATTACTATTTATTATTATCGTAAATACTAACCTATTTGACAAAAAAATTATAATAATAATATTAAGTTAATAAATACTATTTAATATGATATTAATAATAATAATTGGTAATTATATTAATACAATAATAATAATAATATTCATTAGTATAATTTTTCCACCAACACAAGGTCATTTTACGAGGAAGGTTCTATAATGCTATGTGATGAATCATCCATGCTACCTGACATACTTCTAGGGCTCTCTGCCATTGACTTCAAGTCTGCTATAATTTTTTATTATTATTATTATTTATTGTTGTAATTATTGTTATTATTTATTTATTTATTGTTGTTGTTGTTGTTGTTGTTGTTGTTATTTGTTATTGTTAATATATTATTGTTAATATTATCGTTAATATATTATCGCTAAAATTTATTATTATATATTATAGTTATTATTTATTCAGTTATTTATTGTTGTTGTTGGTATTTGTTATTGTTAATATATTATTGTTATTGTTGTTGTTGTTGATTGACAGTTTTGATGTGAAGGCTACCTTCCTTGACTACCAATGGATGCTCGCCATCAACTTCTCAAAATATTTGAAGAATAATCACAAGTTGGTTGGTTGGCTGGTTGTTGATTGGTTGGTTGATAGATTGAATGGTTGGTTGATTGGTTGGTTAATAGATTGAATGATTGGTAGGTTGGTTAGTTGATTGATTGGCTGGTTTTTAAATTGATAAATGACTACATGGGTGAATGAATTATTTACTTAAATGAATGATTGAATTTAGGAATTGATGGATTAATGAATGGCTGAGTGAAGGAATAAATGAGTGAATGAATGAATGGACGGATGGATTGATTGATAGATGAATGATCCATTGAATGGACAAATAGACGACTGGATGAATGACTAATCAACGCACTAACATGATGACGATCTTCTCAAGGTCGAGACCCATCAAAGCAAATACCGAAAATGACGCTAGCGATGACGACAACGATGACTACTACGACGACGTAGGTGATGATAACGATGACGTGAACTGCCTGAAGATAAGGTGCTCAAAGCTTACAAAACACCTCAAGATGATTATCGAACAAAAGGTTGTCATTGTTGCTGTTGTTGCTGAAGCTGTTGTTGATGTTGTTGTTGATGCTGTTTTTGCTGTTGTTGTTGTTGTTGTTGATGTTGATGTTGTTGTTGTTGTTGTTGTTGTTGTTGTTAATTAATTAATAAATAAATACGAATAATAAAATACACCTAGCGCTACCTGGAAGACCTGCTGAGGGTGAGGGACATACAGATAGCTCATCTGACAGATGATAAGAAGAGAATGAATGAGATGATGGAGAGTAATAGGAGAGATGACGATAAAGAGAGGGGCCAGTTGGAGAACGTTATATTCGAGTTGCAGTCACAGATGTTAGTTGTCGTTGATACTGATGATGATGAGGAGGATGACGATGATGATGGCGAGGATGATGATGATGTTGCACTTATTAAGGTTGTAGTTGTTATTGCATTACTTCCGTTATAATTTTCCTATCATCATCAGTAACAACAACATCATCATCATCATCGTCACCAGTAACAACAACAACATCATCATCACCAACATCATCATCATCGTCACCAGTAACAACATCATCATCATCACCATATGACCAGATTCCACTTGAGAGAACAAAACAAAGGCCTGACACAGAACGCTCAAAAGTTGCAGCTGCAGTTCCAGCAGCTGCAGCAGAAGCAGCGCAACAGCCTGCCCACCATGCTAATGTCAAGGCTGCTCAGTCGGGAATCCCAGCTCGAAAGTGAGTACGAAACTAATCAAAACGAAACTGAAACTGAAGCTGATTCTATCCTACTATTGGCCAACGAGTTGGTTCTCAATTTATTTACATCTTATGTTTTGTTTGCGATTGATAATACTGATATCACACACGCACACACGCGCGTGCACATACACACACCCAAACTGACAAACACTTACCGACAGCAACAACACAGTTACAACGGATTTAGACAGCCCCCAATCAACGACAACGACGACAACTTTAATCGAACCAAAGACACCAAATTTTGAGTCTACGTTATTTGCTAATGTTGACGTCACGAAGAAGAAAGGCGCTGCAGATGGCAACAATGCTGGCAGCGATGTTGAAAATAATTTCGTAAAAGTCAACGCTGATGAGATAATGATGCATGGAATTGGGAGTGAATGAACCAATGGATGGATGAATAAATGGATGGATGAATCAATGAATGGATGGATGGACGAATGAACGAGTTAATAGATGGATAGGTAGTTGGAAAGATGAATGAATGAATGATGGGTACCTGATTTTATTTTAATGACTTGAACGTAATTTTATTAAAACTTGAAAAAAAAAGTCAGATTTCATACACTCATGCATGCATGTATGTGTCTGTGTATGTGTACTTTTTACGTGCGTATTTATGTATGTGAATGTTTCTTTGTTTGTGTGTGTGCGCATGTGTATTCCTTTACAAGGGTATTATTCATTCCTTCTTTCGTTCACTGAAAATGAGAAAATATAAACCCGCACGTAAATATTTATTAAGTAAATGTGTTTATACTTATATATATATATATATATTTTGCTATGGTGTTGCTGTTTATCACATAAATATTCACACACACACACGCGCGCACATACACACACGCACATACATAAACATACACACACATTTTATCATACATTCTTCTTGGAACATTTTTTTTGATAACAGTTTAACTTACTTCTGTGCATCTATTTCATTCTGATTTGAGAAAACAACATCATAAAGAGCTATTTAATACTATTAACTAATTAAAATTATATGTATGTATGTATATATATATATAGAGAGAGAGAGAAAGAGAGAGATATTATTAATATATCATATTATATGGAAGTTTTTTTTTAGTCATTCACGTTTCTATCTATTTCAACGATGTGTGTGTGTGTGTGTGTGTGTGTGTGTGTGTGTGTGTGTGTGTGTGTGTGTGTGTTGGATTAAGACTGTCAGAAATGCACTTATTGGTGAAAATCGCAGCATGTTCGGCGTTAGTTGGGGCCGAGTTAAGGCTGATAGATGAAAGACACCCGATAACATCTATAGAATGACGGGCAATTGGAATCCTTCCCACTAATAAATTTAGAAGCAGAGAAATCATCGGTAATGACGACACGCAGTATGTCTCATACTGCGCAAAGTTGAAGATCGTACAATGATATAATTAATAATATAATTTAATGAGCGTTTCACTATAAACATACAAAGAATCAACCAAGCAGAGTAGATACACAGTATGCAAATATATATTTGATCATCTGGCCACATACACAACCTACCAATTCGAACACAAAAAATAGTATAGAAATACTGGGAAAAGCTTTTTTGCTCTACCATGCTTAAAATAAGTAAAAATTTTGGTTTTGAACTCGAGAAACTTGACAATGATTTAAAACCTACCGTTAGAAAAATCGAGAAACTAAACAAGAAGCTAACTAACGCCGAACATGCTGTGATTTTCATCAATTATTGGATATATATATATATATATTTATTTATATGTATTGTATTTTTATACTTATACCGATAACCTAATAAATATAGTCATTTATTAGTCAAACATTCCTTCTATATATATATATATATATATTACAAAATATGATTATGTACGTATATATAAGTATATACATATATATAAAGCGTTTTTATTATTATTGTTATTATTTGTTGTTATTATTATTATTATTCATATAATTTTGATGATACTGATATTCCAACCGCTATTATTATTCATTATTATTATTCATTATTATTATTCATTATTATTATTCATTATTATTATTCATTATTATTATTCATTATTATTATTCATTATTATTATTCATTATTATTATTCATTATTATTATTCATTATTGTTACTATTATTCCTGCTGGTGTCATTGCTCACTGTGGATTTTATTTTGTGAATTTTCAATTAAGGTACCTACAAACATCGAATCAAGTATTATAGAATTTAAATATTTATGTATGTGAGTGTGTGTGTGTGTCAGTTTGTGTGTGTGTGTGAGTGTGTGTTTGTGTGTGTGTGGTACTAATGCTATTCATAAATAATAACTAATTAAGTCGTAAGAGTCGTTTTATTTTTGTAAACCAACAACACTGAATAAATATTGTGATTATGTCGTTAATATTTTACCTATTAAAAAAGGAGTCTGTGTATGTGGTTATATATAGACATGTGTGTGTGTGTTTGTGTGTGTGTGTGTGTGTGTGTGTGTGTGTGTATACAACACACATTTTTACATGCTTGATTGTCATTCGGCAATGAATTGAAAAATTGTATTTTTTTTCTTATCTTCGAGATAATTTTGACTATATTTGGCCGTTCGTTGTTTTAAATTACAATGATTGTTTTTTAAAAATTATTTTTTATTGTGTAGTTTGTTTGTTTTGTTTTGTTTTCAAAATTAGATACGCACGCATACGAAACGAAACATACATACATTCTCGTACACAGGTGCACACACACGCATACATACGCGCGCGCGCGCACACACACACACACGTATAAACACATACATACATTCACACAGATGCATACATTCTCAAGTATATACATTCACCGATAGTACAAATTTATGCAAAATTACCTACCGGAACCCATAAGAATGGTCAGTCCGCATTAAATAACCTAAACGTCAACTGACCAATAAGAAGCTTCCATTTAATTGGCCACGCCCCTGCTTTAACCTCATTGGTCCAGTCAAATTTAGCATTGACGGCTTCATTTAAAAATTGTTAGTTATATTATCGGTAGAGTTTGCTGAGGTAATAAATCTCTTACGCTTCAATGATTTGTCTCTCCTTGTGTTACTTTGTGTGCGTGTTTGTGAATGTGCGTGCGTGTATTGGTGTTTGCGGCGTGTGCGTGAGTGTGTGTACGTGTATGTGTGTTTTTAGATGTTTTAGTATGTAGCTTTTTTGCGTGTTATTAAGTTTTGTATATGTGCGTGTGCATGTGTGAAATATGTGTGTATAAATGTGTTTGTTTGTATTACTGTACTATGTTTGTTGTTTTTTTTTCTCTCTCATCTCTGTCTGTGTTTGTCTGTGTTTGTGTGAGTGTGTGTGGATTTCCCTGGGATGAAGCATTTAAATCCGCGCTATGTATAATAATAGGTTCAATATAGATGTGTGTGCTTTGTGTGTGTGTGTGTGTGCGTGTGTGTGTGAGTTTATCGTGCGTCGTGTGGTCGCTCAAGATGTAATAGCATTAATCAGGTAATAAATGATCCGTAAGTATGTATGTGTGCGTGTGTGTGTGTGTTTGAATGGATTGTGAGTGTGTGTGTGTATTTGTGTACGTGTGTTTTTGGCTTTGATTGTGTATGTGTGTGTGTGTGTGTGTTTGTGTGTGTTTAAATATTAGATTGTTGGATTATTGTTCCGGTTTTTTCTCATTATTTAAAGGCAGTTTGTATCTGTTATTAAAAATGAAAGAAAAATTTAAAAAAAATGTAATACATACACTCCCATACACACGTACAAACAGAATAATGCACACACAAACATACATACACACATATAAACACACACACATACAAACATACATACATACAAATGAACCGGATAACAAACACGAAGACCTGAAAATCTAATCTACAATTGTAATCGTTTCCAAATGTGGGCGGAGTCAGTTGGGACCAATAGTAATTAAGATGGCGTTCACAGCCGACTATCTCTTTCTCTCTCTCTCTCTTTCTCTCTTTCTTTTCATCTTTTTCTTTCTATCTCTCTTTTTTGTTTTTCTTTCTTTCTTAATCTTTTTCCCACACACACGCACACACACACAACATACAAACAAACAAACATACAATCACTGAAAGACAATCATCATCATAACTTGCGATCATAACCGCCCAATCCTATCCTTATAGATTGGTCTATAAACATAGGTCGATTTAAAATTGTTATTATGTGTATATGTGTGTGCGTGTTTGTGCATGTATGTATGTATGTATGTATGTATGTATGTATGTATGTATGTATGT